AATGCATGAAATTAGAAGGTAACTAAATCCGGCGACAGGACGCACCCTCTCCCTCTTGCAGGTAATTTTATATGTCACTAATGAACTACCTCGTTGGTTCTATAAGTGATCCATCATCTACCGCCTATTAATCATCACAGGCCGGTTATGGCGGCCCTACTGAATGTAGGGGTGATTTAATTAATTCAATCTTATCTTCATCGATACTGCAAAAAATTTACATCCAGTGAGGGGCGATCCATCAGTCGCATTCCAGGATATTTCAAATGAATACAAGCTATGAATTGATCTGCTGACGAACAAAGGAAACTTCATAATCTAAAATAACACGAAGGTCATTTTTTAAGTAAGAACCGTTCTGTCAGACGAACATTATTCAAGAATGTAAATTGTAACACAAACTAAAATATGAAAATTTCTTCGTTTTTGAAAATAGTCTCCATAAACACTCAACACTTAATGTGTCAAATACTGGAGCCAGCTTTTGCGATCCGTCTTCAAAGACCGCTGCCGCCTGAGTGTTAAACTGTTAATGGTTTTTTTTCAACATTTCATTATTTTCCAAGCGCTCTTCACCAGTAATGTTTTGGAAAAGGATGATAGTATGACGGTCCTAAGTCAGAGCAGTATGGGGGATGGATCCAGTAGTTCCCAAGAACTTCCAGTTGCGTCTGTGTTCTTGCCGCAACGTGGGGCCGAGCGTTGTCGTGAAGCACAACAACGCCGCTAGAGAGCAGGCCCCGCCGGCAGTTTTAAATGGCGCGCCTAATTCAACAAGCTGCTGGCGAATTTCAGCAAAAGGAGCTTCTCTCATTTTAAAAACCGAAATACTAAGTGCTCTCCTGGTATGGCGACAAACAAACCATTATAACCACATAGCCAATACCAACAGAGATGTGAAATGTAATGGCGGCCTAGTGCGAGGCTGGTCAAGACCGTTTGAGGTTGAACGGACGCCACGTGATAGGATGCGCGGACACAGCTCTAGCTTTAAAAAGGACCCCTCGTGTCTTGCACTTCTTTGGCGAAAGTGACGGCTAGCGTAACATGTTTATTAAAGCTTTCCCCAAATCGCATATTAAAAAATTTGTTGGAAGGAAGGAATTCCATTATATAAACAGGACATCATTGTAATGACCGTTTGTATCAATGCACAGACTGCTTGTTACAGATTCTACCGACATTTAGTAATGAACTACTTATAAACGCAGAAGTTGAGGTCACTTGAAATTAGAAATTGAACGACTAATCCAAACAATACCTGATGGAAACGAAAACTTCAAAAATACAATGTTTACTATTCTGGTCAGAGAAAGTTCTGTATGGTCGACAGTTCCAAATATCATTTAGTTCTGAGCTATGATGCTGAACTATTACACAGACGCTTCTGGCAACACACTATAATATATACGAGGCAATTTATTAAAAAAATTAATGGACATTTCTGTAGTCGGAAGTAATCTTATGTCCTTAAATGTTTCTTTCCATTACCAATTTGCAGGGTATTATCAATTGCTGCCCCACGGATGAGAATGAATAACAACACACGAATAGTATTCAAATAACGTTATCGTCAATGTTAAACCGCACTAACTTCAGCATACTTATTAAATATAATAAATAAAACGGAACTATGTTTTTCATACACTTACTCCGAGTATTTAACACAATTGATCACCAAAAGGTGTAGCCTTAAACAAATTTATCAGGAGAGGTTATTCATGTGAAATTAAGTACCTTACTTAAAAAATGCAATTAGATGTTTAAAAAAAAGTCAGTATCTTTGAAAATACGTTTGCTTCTTCTTCTGTAGAGGGTATGATATTAGAATTATCTGTTCAAAGTTTAAGTCAGTCTCTTAAGCCACTTCAAAGATACAATTATTTTCGATTTCGTAATTACCACTTAACACCTTGTAACTCGGAAAGCGGGCTTTTTAGAACATATGGTCAGAAAATTTTTCTTGTTTTTATGGGTATTGTTTTTGCTCCAGAAGTATTTGCCAGTGTTTTCTGAATCATCCTGTTAATTTAAAGCTTCACCTCAAGCTTGCACGGTATTTCTGCGAATACAATTAAACTGAATCAGGGAGTTTTCGATTCAGCTAGGAGAGCCGCTCACGCTCAGGTTGAAACGGCAGCTGTATGCACTGTGCAGTTTCCAGCATGCTGCGATTATGTCCGCATCTGGCTCTGAATAGAAAATCGGACCCTGGGCTTAATAATTCATTGTGCAGGTAATTGCTGGTGGGGCTACCACTGAATACACCGTCCATCTATAATTGATCGTGGACGAACGGAGATGAACCTGGGAAGGGCGGAACGCAGCTTGTGTAGCTCTATTCAGAGTGCCCTTTGAACCTAAATCGTTTTGACTACAATATTTGCAGGAAATCATGTTTTCGCTAACGCTAACATCAGTTCATAAAAGATCATGTTCAGCATGACCTAGATCCTTTCAGAAAATAGATCGGGTCAGTCAAACAGGCCTATATGAATTCATCCCCAGTTTCCAAGAAACGGCAACGTTGCTAGAGAAATGTCTATGAGCAAGCTCGGTAAACGATACGACCGGAACAAACAGTCGCCCTATGATACTATAAATCGAGAAGATATCCTCATTAACAAATGTTCTGCTTAGAGGTACGAAATGCATTGTATTTTCTTTCAATATTTGAAATATTTACATAACCTTTTTTGTGTCATTAATTTTAGATGGTGACTTTAATATTATACAGAATGATTTATATCTTGCTGTTTTATATCGTTATAGACAGAGTACATATACATTACCTTTATAAAGTTATCAACTTTGAAAAATTAACAACAGACAAGTTGAACTGTTCTAAATAACTTAAGACATAATCATTAAAAATGTGCCTGTAACTTTTCAAACTAAAATTTCTGTAGTGCTCCAAATGAAGGGACTTACTTTTTTATTGGTGTAAATTGGTATAAAATAATGCCTTTGATAAAGATAAATAACGGAGAACAAGGTACAGTATATACAGGGTGACTTCGAAGTTGAGTCATTTATTTTAACAGTGAGTAGATCTGATCAAAAGAAATGCTTTTTTCCTTTAACATTTTTCTGGTAAAATTAAAGTAACAAAGTTATAGCCCTTTAGAAGTTTGAGTACCGCCCTGTCTCAACAATAATATTATGTGCTCGTGTTTGGCAACAACGGATATAATCCGCCTTATCCGTTCATCGCATCGGAAACAAAAAAGCGAAAGAATTTGAAACGATGCTTTTACTACAATGTACAATTTTATTCAGTTGTTTTCCGTCAATGTGTCAGTCGGTACCGCGTGAGTGAATAGTGGTGTTTGTTGCGTGGCTTAAACGAAACAAAAAATGCACATGTTTACGAAAATGCTGAACTTGTGGACATGATTCTTATTTACGGGAGGGGGGGGGGAACCTTTATGCGGATCGGATTCCCAATCGAGTGCAACCAACCCCTCGTGCCTTTGTTAATGTAGTACAAAGGGCTCGTGAATCAGGTGACTTAAGACCTCACAGGGGAGGGCATGCCGGTGCTCCAAGACCGCACGATCAAATACAGGTCCGCACTGAAATACTTGTCGGGAGGATACTTTATAAAACAAGGTAACATTTTTTTTAATTTTTATTTTTATTTTTACACACATATTTTGGTTTATCTTCCTTCTACAATCATTATCTGAAAATTAATGACTCAACTTCAAAGTCACCCTGTACATCTCTATAATTTTGTCTAACATATTACGTGTAAATTGTTTTCTAATCTTTTTTATGGGTAGGTTTCAATAAAAATATTTTGTATTGGTACAGCTTTATTGAGTTTATTTTACAATTTTCATCATTTCCCTCTTCCCCATTCTGGATTTTTCTTTTACATCCAACATCTATTTTCAAATACATTTTACATCTAAAAAGAAAAAGATGCTTGGATGTTCACTTGGACTAACTAGCGTGGATAAATCCATGAACGAATTTAAATAATGTTCTTTCAACTTTAATGGCACCGCGCTCATATAGTCAACAATATGGTCAAGTTCATTACATTTTGTCAGAAACTATTAAATTTGTATCACTGATCGGACTTCAGAGCCCACTGTTCGCAAACTTATTTGTTCTTTGGAAAACTGCCAATTCGAAACGTCTTTGCTTTTCTTGTTGTTGTTGATTGAACTACCCACCACTGCACAGTACATCATAGTTGAAATGTTTAATTCACTGCTTTCAAATTATACTTCACAAATATAATTTATTCAAAACACACAAATAACAAACTAACGAGACTAGGGGAAAGGTGTATAAAATGATCCCCCTAAGGGAGATTTCTTCGTGTGACTAAAATATTAAAGTAAGAGCAAACCTTGATGGAGCTCCGGATGAGGTGTTCAAGTGCCTATGTATTGGCATACCATCTTTTTTGATCTATTTTGTATGTTCAAATTTATTTAATGTTTTCCAACACCCTCGCAAAGGATCATTTTATACACTCGGGTTGGGGCAAAATGATGCCAGGAAGGGAAGTAGAAAACAGTATTTAAAAAAAGTATTTTTAAATCAATTTTTATCCAGTCAGGATCTACTGAGAAACAATTTCTTTTGGGATCAGAATAAAAAATAATATCTTTAAACTCTCATATTTAGGGTAACATTTGTTATAAGCAAAATTCTTGAAAAAGTATATCTAGAAGTATAACTTCCGCAGAAATCACATATAAAATCATCTTCATCTCCACTGTCGAGGCCAGCGCATGCTTCATGTCCCCATTTAGAACATTGTATACAAAGGACCCAGCCTGCTCCCATACCTTCTTTTGAGTATGGTTCAGTGCAAAACATACACTCTGCGTCATCTTCGGTAGATTCGGACTCGTAAGTATTTTTTTGTTTTTTTTTGTCTTTTCTTTGCCTTGATTTTGATGGACCATTTTCGCTTTACCAACTCATTTTCCTTTACCAGCTCCTTTTCTTCTATCAACTCCTTTTCCCTTATTTTCTTTCTATACGAGACCTTTGTATCTCTTCCTTTTCTTTTTTTTCTGCATTAAATAGTTCTTATAAGGTGAGCTTGTTAAAATTGTTGTGTCTATTTTCCTTTTCTTTATATTTCTGTTCCTTTGTCCTTTTATCTTTGGACAGATGTTGCGTGGATCAAAATTACCAAAATATGTAGATCGTGAATCTGAAAAAGTGTCTATGTCAGGAGATAACATAGCTGCTTCCCTGTCATTGGAAGGTAATGTCTCAGCATTGTCGAAGTCATTGATTTCTGACGAGGGCCCAGAATATGAATTCATAGTATCTTGAACGATGGGAATAGGACGTGACTCAGCAATTTCTGTTCCTGACGGTGGATTTGCCAGAACAGACATAGAATTGCAGGAGTCTTTGGCCTCAATATCCATTTCGATCGCTTCAGCAGCCACATAGTCAACATCGGCGAAAACATCCTGATTTAAGGGATAAATCCCACATTTCATAAACCCATTAATGGCGTTTAAAGGTATCGCTGCCTTTAAGTAAGCCCCTGCAAAAACTTTAGTGATTTGGAAAACAGAGACCACTCTTCCCAGATGATTGTTCATCCACTTTTCCAATTCTTGGTTGTGATAGACGCTGAGATCGTACATAACACTTACATCCAGTGGTTGGAGCTTGTGCGTGCAAAATTGCTGGATCCTCTGCTGGTTTTACGTGCACTAAAAAATGATCAAACCATTTATCAAAAACTTCTAGTTTCATCCAACCACTTGAGTTGCATGCATAAGCTGGCTCTGGAGGCTCTCCATCCATTAATTCGATCTTCATTCGCCGTCTTTTAAATATAAACACAAATAACTGCAGTCGTTGTGTCGCCTCTTTCAGCCTAAGTCACTCTCGCCACTTGCTTGCGTCCAACTTTAGCAATCACTTTTGTATTTTTAGTTGGCACACTGCATAGAGTGGTCTCGTCAACATTAAGAATCCTATGTGGAGGAATATTCTTTTTCTCCTGAGTGTCTTTTAAAATAGAAAAAAAAATGTCAACGACTTTTTTGTTGATAGCTGTTGCACGAGCAGCTGATGTTGATTCCGGACTACGCAGAACTATATGGGAATGCCGTTGTCGAAACCCTCTCAACCAGTCCGCACCAGCTTTTCCTTTTTCAACTGAGAATGGGTGAGCTATTTTATTTTTCTCGGCCAACTGGTAAGCCAAACCGAGAATGTCTTTTTTGGTTAGCTCGTACATACTTGTTTCCATGTCTTCCACGTGCTCAATGTGCTCATTCTCTTGCTCAGGTGTAAATACAGTTTTTCTACTGCCCAAAGCCTTAACTGCGCCAACCGCGATTTTATTTTTACCCTTGTCTCTTCTTTTTAGCGACATTACAGGAACACCAGACTCTCTACTAGCTTTCTTATACGGCATTCCATTTCGACTTGCTTCTGGCGCTCTTGACATAGCGTCCTCACTCCAGTTCTGCCGATTAGTATGTCTTTGATATTGACGTGGCATTATCTGCAAAAAAACACTTATAACATTTTATTTTTCAAATTGAAAAAATGTGTGGGGTAAAATGCAGTATTACAAAAGTTGATCAAACATAACCTCAAAGCGTAACCTTAGTAAGATCAAAGGATTCTAAGAATAAAGAATATAACTGAATATGGCTACGAGCAGCTAGTAAAACTTTTATTCACAAATACACCACAGAAAATTTCACAATTTTGTATTGATTTCATGCTTACTAAGGATTTAGCACACTAATTTTAATTTTTTCCAAATAACTCGACGTACAGTAATTATACCGCCATAACAACCGGTGGGAGTAGTGAGCGGGGTGCGAGGAAGATGTTAGCGATCAAATGAGATAGATGGCGGTACAAAGTTGTCCAGTGATAAAAGGGATCGTTTTACCTCGGGGAATCATTTTATACACTTTTCCCCTAATCACAAATTACGTGCTAAAGCGCCATATAAATCTGAAAACTTCTCACCATTCTCTGGGGAATTTTGTGACCGAGTGACGTCATGCGTGCGAAAGAGACAGGCTGATCACATGTGCGTTGGTTAATCCGTGGGTTCATCTCTCTAGTAATTTTATCGTGCAGTCGCCCAGTTACCGGCCGGTGCAGCGGATATTATACATATTTCTCGACGCGGGTATCGAGATCATCCTACTCGTAGCAGTTAACTGCAAATATACGGGAAAACCTACATATATACCTCAAATATATCTAACAGATGCGCAGAATAACCGGGTTTATAAGCGTATAAGTATATATATTTTGAGACGTGGTCATTGTCGTCTAGACCAGTTAGGTGAAAAATTAAAGCTTCCGCCTTTTGTTGGGTACTTCGACAAAATTTAAGCAAAGAGGACTCTTTAGCAATTGCTGTTATCATTGTAATTGCAGCTCCTGATGATGATGGCAAAGTCCATTGAAAGCTAGAGAGAATTCAAAAGTATAAAGAGTCCTCTTTGCTTAAATTTTGTCGAAGTACCCAACAAAAGGCGGAAGCTTTAATTTTTCACCTATATATATATATATATATATATATATAATTGAGATATACCCTCCTCCACCCCCTGTTACTCGAAACCCTCAATTTTCAAGTCGTAAAAAACGTTTCCAAAAAACAAAGTTTGAGGGATATTCCTTTTTTTCTTGGATTGCCCCGTAACTTCAGAGCCAGTGAACTGATATTCAAAAACTACAAAGCTTTTTCATCCTTGGCACAGTAGTAACCTTGTGTGGAAATTTTGCATCAAAATCCGACCGGTGTCTTCCAAGATGTAGACAGGTCGAGGATAAGCGGACAGAGCGGCATAAATCAGTGACATGGTTTTTCGTGATGTAGGTGTTATGTAGCATCCAAAAACGTAACATCTCATCTTACAAATATTATGCGATTACAATACTTCCTGGTCAGTGGCATAGGAAGTAAAAAAAATACAACACACTAATCTAAAATTACTGAACCCAACTTAGGCCAGTATCGTCAGTCGTCCCTACAATTATTGTAGGTCGCCTTTATGGCCTCCTTGATTGTCATAGTTTTCTACTTCTCCGTGTCAGCGCTCTATTTTAAGGTTATGTCACAAACATCTATTTGTGCTTGCTTTTGAGTTATATCATGTTTTATCAGCCTGAAACTTCCTACAACTTAAAAAGAAAACATATCTTCACAATAGGAGAGCGCTGACGCTGACACGGGACAAGTGTAATCTAGAAATTTTTGAAAGAGAGAAAGGCGTATGACAATCATGGAGGCCATAAACGTGCCCTACAATTGTAGGGACGACTGACGATACGGGCCTTAGAGGTTCCTTCCTTAATTAAAACTAGATACTATAATATATCAGGAAATCCTTGAGATGCGGAATGAAGGTTTCATGTTTCGGACCTGCATTGACGTTGCTGATATACTAACTCTCATATAAAATGCAACACCCAGAATTATTTATTGAATTTCGATAAAAACTTGTAAGCGTATTTGCTATCATGGAAGTTTTTGTTTCATTACACTATCATGCCTAGAGCTCGTAGTCGCGCTAATTTCACTCAACTTTCCGAGTCTGAGGGGGGTCGGATGAGTTACGTAAAGCCGGATTTTCTTTTAGAGACATCGCTATTTGAGTAAATCGAAACGAAGCTATTCTAATGAGATGTTATCGAGGGTGGTTCCAAGAAGGCCGAAATCGACGAGTTAGAGTTACCAGACGTCAAAGACAGACCACAGAACGACATGATCGTTATTTGAGGCAACTAGCAACTAGGGACCGATTGTCCACAACAAGGGCAGTTGCGAACTAGTAGTGGTTTGATGATGCTGGAAGGCCAATAACAATGAGGACCGCAGCATCGTCGGCAACGATTGATATGGAGTAGGGAGATACTTGAATGAAATATGGAATGGAACTCACTCGTGTTCAGCGATGAGTCATACATGATGGGCGTGCAAGAATAAGGAGCAGACCCCAACTAACAATTATCACTCCTATTAGAGTTGCAAGAATGATTATACAGTATTCCTTACACAGTATTGTCCACTGTAAGAACATTCGCAAAACCCTCTTAGAACAGCTGTACAAGCGGAATGGGCACACCTTCAGTCATTTAAGAGGTTGTATAAGTGCTGCAGGTAACAGCTATATAACAAAAGTGTAAGCCTCTTGCAGCCGCTATAGGACGTTTGCGTCAGTGCAAGATTCAGTTTTTGTCAACTATACAACTATTCTGTTACGTGATTCTACTTTATTGCAACTATTTCTTATGTACTGTATAGACGAAGTGAAGAATATATAACTAACACAATACAGTCATCTTGTTTACTTACATATCGGCCATTGTGAATTTCATACACAGGTATATGATAAAATTCTACACTGTGATATAGGGCTAATAGAATTACTTGCTCAGGAAATTTTATTGTGATTATCGTGCAAAGTAGTTACGCAATTTCTATGGGCTTCGTATTTGATTCATATTTTGATGATAATCAAAAGTATGTCTAGATTTTTAAGATGGAAAACTGGACTTATCTGCGTTAAATCTTCCACAAATCCTATATTTAGACACAATTACACCAATGTTTATCACTTTATATCTGTAATTTCGAACTGAAACATAATTATTTAATATCAAATAGAGGAATAAATGTTCCCCCAATATGGCGGGTGATTATGTATAATCATGGCATCGTCCACGTTGTCCTTAGTTTATTAGAATATTTTGGTGTTGCCTGCAGGTGTTATACAACAATTTGACAAATGTCAGAAATGAAATACCGACAGAGTCGAATGATTTACCTAGAATTTGTACCAGACCTATATCTTCTGTTTGAACAGTTGATAAAACCTTTTTAACCAATATGCATGCGTTGTTTGTCTTAAAACATTGCTTATGGCATTTTAACAAAAATATGACAGCAGAATGTTAGGTTATGGTGAAGTTGTATACCAACATATTTAGCATATGTACAGCCTTTAATAGTTACTAAACAACAGTTATATAAGTGCTTTCGTTATGAGCAATTTGTTGGCTAAAGTAGTAAATTTGCACAGCAAAACAACAAGGCTCGGGTTTGTTTTATAAACGTTACCATGGATGCCACAACACAACCATTTTGACTAACCTGCAAATACCTATGCCGGATAAAATAGTTGTATAAACGTTTATGCAACAGTTAAAAATTTGTCCTATAAGGTGTTGTGTAACTATGCTATAAGAATATTTTGAACAACTCATTTTCATATGTTGCAGAAAGCAAATTTGCATTCCACACAACATTAAGCCAGCATTTTGGTGTTCAAGCAACAATAATAGAGAGCTTTATTGACTGAACGGTTCTTTTACCAAAAGCTTATAGCACTACTTTGCTAGTTAGGACGTGGTGAAAATATTCATCGCACTGTGGGTATTATGGTACGGGATGCCATTGCTTGCGGCAGCGGGTCACGATTAGTGTTCATTCAAGTTTATCAACCACATCTGCTTCCCCTGTTGGAAACATTGCAATCACTTTTCGTAATTTTAATCACTTTCAATTAATCAATAGATCTAAAACTTATAAGAGTGTGCTTAGAATTACAGCACTAGTTTGTGTTTCATTTTCTACGTCATTTAGTATACGTTAGGTTTGGTGTATTCCCAAAACATTTGTGAAGTGAAAATTGTGCATGATCTTAAAAATATCTATGTCGTTCTGAAATTACCTGCTACGGTAAGACGTTGCGATTTGAAGTGCTGTTAGTTGAAGAGAACAAAGAAAATGAACAAACAGGTAACTAAATATTTTGCAAAAGGCCAAGAAACTCATACAAATTTGACAGAATCAAAATAGTTAAAAAAAAACTGGTCTCAGCCTCGGGATGGGAAGTAATTCTTTGCCAATATATTTCTTCCTTTGCACTACACGTCATTGGGTGCATTGAAAAGGTTGGCATATAGTATTGATGACATTTTTCAACGAAATTTGTTGATCATTCAATGATGATTATACTGGTTTGTATAAGACTCAGCTTTCTCCATTTCGGATTAGTTCATACGCGGCAATACCTACCTCACGTTCCTATCGTTGGAATAAGTGTAATTGGATATGTGAGAAACTTTTCTGTAAAGCAAGGCTGATGCATACCTTTCCTCCAACCCAGTGGCCACACGTTTTTGACAATCAATGTCAAAAAATCCTGATGAGGTGAAAACTTTTTGTTGCATGGTTACAATCTCGATTTATCGGCGGTATCTTAAGTTATTCAACTTAAAAAGTAAAAAATCGCTTATTGCGAACATCATTTGCACTCTATGCTATTTGGGGTTATTATAAATGTTGCAGAGCATAACATTTTCTACAAAATTGATATACGACATATTATTCAGTTAGCTGTTCTCGAGATAGAATGCATCTGGTGGACGAGGCTATTTTGTGGTTGTCCTTTTCACAACTGTGGCTTTATTCATTGGCGAAAATAGTATGCATCTACAAACAATTATGTTCCGTTCTCGTCGAAGTAAATATTTAGAATAATTATCGTAGTACCCTCGTAGTAGTACCCAACCGCCACGATTTCAAAGCGCGCACGCAGAGAAGGAAAGCGGCACCGCGCCCCTGCCCCCTACCTTTCTCCCCTCTGGCGGCCAATAAACCTTCATTCCTTGTTCTCGTGCCCAACTGTCATGAAGTTAATCGGCGCTCGTGGTTTACGCGCAGTGCAGTGTCGAGGATCCGCTAAACATTTAGAATTAGAAAACAGGACAGCAGATTGGCCGATAGATTGCACTGTCGAACGAGATACCGACCGACGGTTGCCTGGAGGTTCCTTTCGTCGCCGACCAAAATTAGGAAGTGGCGTGAGCGCCTCTTTTTCTGAAGGGGCGTCACCATCAGGTAATTGTCGACTAACCGTTTTAGGTGCAAGTTAGGTGAATATTAGTATGGACTCCTCACCGGCGCTGAAAGTTGTGCCTGGCACGACGTTTGGGATAACGTTCTGACACTGTTGCTGGGGTAACAACCTGGACCTAGCGTGTGATAACCAACTTCATACCTAGGACGAACAAATACGTTTGGGATAACGCTGAACCATTGGACTTGGTTGCTTGGGATAGCAACGTGGACCTGGCTTGGGATAGTCAGCTCCACACCAAGGACGAACGAAGACGTTTGGGATAACGTTGTAACATTGTCCACACCATGGACGAATGAAGATGTTTGGAAGAATGACTCAATACTGAACTCCGTTGCAC